AAAATTCTCTATTAAATTATTTTTCATAAAAGCAAATACACACACACATCGAACGAACGACAGAATGGAAAATGCGAAACGAGCACACACAAATGTGTGCTTTCTCTCGTTTCGTGCTTGCTGAATATTTGTATATAAAATAAATAAATAAAAGCGGGCGACAGTAGCTTTTATACAATTTAACCGTTACATAAACGAAAATAATATGTAAATATATATAATAATTTTACGATTTTCTTCTTTTCGATCTGGTCGTTTGAACGGCTCATTTTAGCTTTTTTTCTCTTTCTCCCTCTTGCTTGCTCATTCTTTCATTCGTTCGTTCGTTCATGCATCCACCCGCATATGCAATGAGCTCTCCAGTTTTTATCGTTCTCTTTCTACACCGAACATCTCGTCGTGAGAAACATCATTTTATAATACATACATATTTTCCATTTTCAACTTGCCCATATTTTCCATAGGTAGTTAAATTTTTCATGGAAACGCATCTTCTGCTATTGGTTCCCCCGAAGCCAATATACATAAGAGACACAAGGAGCTTTACATCTTTATGCTCTAAAATTGTAACTTAAGTCACGTTGCCGTTTCAACGATTGTCCGTACATATACACACCAAGAAGGGAGCATTCGGTATTTGGGTTGCAAATAAACATCATCCATTCCTTCTTTCCATGTCGTACTGTCTCGCTTGCGCCACCATCACAAAATGTGCTCAAACAATATTCATATGTAACGAGAGAATGGAGGAAAAAGTGAGACAGAGCAAAAGAATAAGAGTGTTTGTGTGTGTGTGTGTGTGGCGCAGCATCATCATCATACACACGGCACGGGGGTCTCAAGGAAAAATATCACAAGAATCTAGAGTGCTATCATTACATTTATTCACAGCATCATCGTTGTCGCCTCTCCATTGCCGCTACAGCAACATTGAGCGAACGAAACAAGGGCGTATATTTGAATATTTTAAACTTTTGTATTACAAAAAGGGGGTGTGAATTTGTATAAAATGCAAAGAAATAAATGACGATGATGATTCATATGGAAAATTTTTATGTGTTGCATTGTACATTATGTACCAGCACCAGCAATAGCAGTCAGCATATCATCAAAAATGTTTTGCGCATTGAGTCCGTTGGCCGCGTTGGATGTTGTTCAATGGCTTCGAAATATAAATGGTGTGCGGAGCAAAAGTATATACATAATAAAATGAAATATTCAGAATTTTCAAGACACGTACAGATTATTTTTCAAACGAAGCGCAAAAAAAAGTGTAGCATAGAAGAAGCATCAGCCAACAACAACAACAACATGTGACACTAGAAAAATCATCATCAACCAAGTGGCTGTGTGACAACAACAGCAACAACTGAAAACATAAACAACAACGACAACAACAGCAGCAACAGCAGCGACAGCGAAGATGAAGAATACGAAAAAAGCTGCCCGAGAGAACATGATATGAAATGAACGACAACGACGCATAAGAATTACGAACGACACTAGAGAAATACAGAGGATAAAAAGATCTTTCTGTCCATTTCCATAGCTGATTCCACAATTCACATTCACACAAACGCGTCCACAATGTATTCGGTGTGCGCTTTCTGTTTCGGTCATGAAATTGCATTACGACCGTGTGTGACAGAGAAAGCGCAAAAAAAAGAAGTAACAAAACAAAAAACGCACAGAGCTGTATTGAGCTTAAAATATTGCTATAGAATATGGTTTATGAATATAAATGCTTATATATTTTATCGCTTGTATCCACTTAAATATTATAGCTCTATCTCCTGCATTTCGAGTACATAGACCATCTCGGGTATAAAACGAAACAATGAATACTTGAGCAAACAAAACTCGGCAGTGAGGAGTGTGAGGGGGAGAGAGAGACGAGGACGTGAAAAAAGATGAAAAGGAACGGAAAAAAGTAGCAATCGGTGGACAAAGTTGGCGGCGAAGGGAAAAAACTGTGTACGATGTTGAAGAAAATCGAATGCGGACGAGGACGACGATGGAATGAAAATGGCAACAAAGCTAGAAAAGGTCTATGTACAGAGCAACAACAACAGCAACAACGGTAGCAGCAGCTCCAACATATCCAGCATAGCATAGTAGGTATAATCTTTATGATTGTCATCGTGCAGCACATCTATGTGTTGTATGAATGTGCTTATCGTGATACGTGTTTGGCTCTTTCGCATTATTTTCATTCTCGTCTCCGTTCGCATTCGGTTGGTGTGTTATCGTTCGCTAGGTGAAATTTTTATGTATTTATGTAAAACTTGGGGGGCAATGCAAACCAAAAATAAAAATACACTCGAAAACTGGATGAAAATGGAAAGGAAAAGAGAGCGAAAAAATTGGAAAATCTTCTCGACAGCACCCAAGCTTCATGATAAAAAGGCTTAGCAATCGAACGCGCATGCTCTTCAACCAATTTAAATGCGACTATTTTTTTTTTCTTCTCTGACTCTTCTCTTTCGAAAATTGTATGCGAATGTATGGGTGCCAGATATTGTGTATGAAAGGAAGTGTCTCTTTTTTCTCAATAAAGCATATCCATGCATACATATTTTCCCTATAAATACGATGCTCTCCATTCTCGTTTGCTAACGTGTGCGCTTTCCCCCCGAAATCCCCCGGAAAATGTATCGTCTATCGTTCAATATGTAACATTCCGTTGTGCTTGTACCATTTTCTTCATTTCGCTCCCTCTTGGTTGTTGCTTTCATTCATTTTCGTTCGATATACGCTTTGCTCATGTACAATGACCTGATATAAAATTCGATGGCATTTTTCATAAAATAAACGCAAAGATATTGCTAACACACAAATATCGAATATGAAAACAAAAAAACACACAAGCTCGACCGCCTTTTTTCCACATTTTCCAATCTCCATCTTTTTTTTATCTGACATGACGTGCGCGCAAACATATATCCGAAAAGAAAAAAACTTTTGATAAATGCGAATTTGGTTCGGTGTTCGTTCGCAAAAATTCCAAGAGGAACTATTAAAATCTATCGCATCACCAACAAACTTACATACACAAAAAAAACAGCAACTATAAATTATAATTTCGATAAATCTTTTGTGCGGAAATTTTCTCATTTTCAGCACGCAATAATCGTAATCTAAAAAATATAATCCTTTTTCGTAGTAAACAATCGTTTTGGGTGAAAATTCTTATGAATTTATTATATTTTTGGGAAGAAAATTATATGTTAATGTCACAGCGTCCGTGAGCCAGACAATTCATCATTATTCCGAATCAATTCGAACGCTCGAGGGTGTAAATGGCGACGTCAATTTCTGATTATAGAGCAACAACAATGTCTATGACAACAACGATCCATATAATTATTGACCGTACAACTAGAAGCGTGCGAAAAGGAAAAACTGACACCACAACCGATAAATACTACACAGACGCATATACACACAAATTGTAGCGATTAAATGTACATTGTCCTCATGGTGGTGTTTCGGGGGGTTTGCTTCTGTGAGGCGCTGGCTCCCTGTATATTGTTTTGGCTTTTTGCTTGATTATATCTTTGCATGTCAATGCGACAAGCCATGCATCACCGAGGGAGCGCGGCGATGCGACGATGTGCCGAAAATACAAACTCGCACAAAAAATTATATTAGGAAAAACGGTAAAAAGGACAACAAAAATAGAGTGACTGGCTAAACAATATTGGTCCATAAATTTTAATGAATTTTTCACCAAAACTCCGGAGAGCCACCAAAAACCCAGCCAAATGAAACGAAAACAAATCATTTTCAACACACATAATTCATATCTTAGTTTTATATGCCGAGAGGATATGATTTGAATTGAGCATGTGTTGCTTTCGTTCATTGGCGTTATCTTTCTCTAACTCATTGTATATATGTGTCTGTGTCTCAGGGAGACATTGAAGAAAACCCGAGTCGGTGCACATCAACATAATTGCTGTGCAATAATATTCCGTAATAATGCTCAAGTTGGTTGTTTGCTGTTATATTGTGTTCGCTGCCATTAAATTCGCACTCAAAGCGCACCAACACTCGCTCCCTTTTCGTCGCCCCGAACGGAACAACAACAAAAATAGCAAATACGGACAAAAAAAAGTAAGATGAATGCTGCAGCAGTTGAAACAGAAGACGAAACGGTGGTTGCTGATTGTATTTGCACAGCAATTATATTCCAACAGAAGAATGATAGTCTCAAAAAAAAAAAAATATAAATCAAGTTTCTTTGCGAATGAGAAAGAGTGAGAGAGAGAGAGAGTGCGAAAGAATTTCGCACTGGAGTCAAAAGCATCGAGAATGAGAGCAAGCGAGACCGAATCAGAATCAAAAGGCTCCGTAGTAAAATTATTAACGATTCAAATAAAGTAACGACAAAACATTTCACAAAAGATAGGTGCTATTTAACATAACCGCGCACATTATAACGCGCCTATCGTAAAACAATATTCTGATTGGATGCACATAAACGGCCCCACCAACGTCTACTTGGCTAACCAACACAACGGCAACCAGCAGAAAAACAAATGGGCAACACACAACCAGTCAACAATATGCTCCACACACAGAGGAGAGCAGTGCGTTTCTGTGAGGCAATAAACACATGCACACACACATTGTCGCGCATATACACCAATACATACGTGCCGCGCGCACTCCAAACTCGCGAAGAGCACATGAGACAGTTTGTTTGTACAAGTGTATAGGTTTTCCACTTTACTGTCTTCTATTCTGTTTTCGGTTGAGTTTTCAACGGCACAGCGATTTAGCGGCGAATTCACACACAATTATATTGTACTCGCCAAACGAATATCGAATGAAAAACACCGAAGACAACACACGATGAAGAAGAAATAAAAGAGCTAAAAAAGAATAACAACATACAACACGCGGCTTATACACAGATGCGAGTCGAGTGAATGAAAAAAAAATCGGCGACACCGAACCACCAATTCTACGCGAGTCAGTACCATTTCACATTTTAAACGAGGCGAACGTCATTTTTTTATTGTTGCACGCGCTAATTTTTTTATTTTTTATTAATAACAAACATTTTCAAATCATCATTTCACATTCATGCACCCACTCGACAGCATTTCTATCACTCTATATCAAGTGTCGTATGTTCTGTGTTCACAATATCGGACAAACTAAATTAGTAGCCCATAAGTCCTGTTTGACGTGCGACGGTGTATTAAACGTTCGTTTTCGAATTTGTGCGGGAAAAATAAATAATCACGTGCAATTTGAACAAGAAATTATCAACATTTTTCTATGTGCACAACAAATCGGAAATGGATTAATTGCATGAGCTGAATCAAATGGGAAATCTAGTGACATTTTTGAATAACTTCAGTGACAATATGATTGAATTACATTTTTACATGCGACTTTTGACTCATGAAAGTGTTTGAAATTGTGGAAGCCGGATTTTAATTAGTGAGACATTCTTTTGGCATTTTTTTTTTTGGAAAATATGCATGTGATAACTTAAGTGTGGAAAAATTGAGAAATCATTATTTGGAAAAGTTTTCGGAAAAATTCTGACGAATTCTTATTCAACTGACCGGAACACGTTTTAGTGAGGCAGAGATAAAAGCGGAAGATAAGGTATTGTGAAATTATTTCTTTTTCGTGTGAAAATCATCCATTTGTTCTGTCATTTGTGTTGCGCAACTTTTTAGAATATAAAATGAAACGAAAATCGATCTATTTCGTGAACTTGAAATCGGGAAGATACTTTTATTCTTGAGTTTGTGTTAAATTCTTCCTTTTTTGTGTCTTTAAAAAATTTGCCTTCTATCGTTTCAATCAAATGCATTGTGTTTACTTAGCATTCAATGGTTTTTAATAAATTAAAAAAATGTCCAAGCACAAAAAAATGGAGTGTCGATTTAAAAGATTAAATCGAAAGATTTGAAAAATCACTTTGCGTTCAAGTTCTTGTTGGAAAAGAGAGCGTTGCACTTGTTTAAAATAAAGGAGTGCATATTAATGTTTGTGTCTGCGATAATTTCATTGAACTTTGATTGAACGATTTGTTTACCGATCCGATGTTCGCACGGAAAGTGAATACGGAAAGCCTGTGAGGTGTTTGAATAATAAACAGAGATTAATCCAAAGAATTGACTCTTTTCTCCAACTACATATACAATATCAGTCGTAACCGAATAGATTTATCAGCAATGAGAAAAAAATTGGTTCATCAAACATGTTTAGCGCGGCTCAAAGTCGATGCACACACCGAAAAAAAAATGAAAAGAAAAAGAATCACTGGCAAACGATTTTTCTATTTACTTAGCATGTTTGCTAAGCGCAAAGTGAATGATAAGAAACATATAAGTCAACTTCAACTGAATCAAGCTTATTGACTCAATTGTGTCACACGAAATGAGCATTTTTTTTTAAAGCGCTTACATATGCATCACACAAATGATGTACATATTCAATTATTGCAATATCTTTGATATATACACGCTTTGAACCATCGAGGCCAATAAAAGCAAGTATCGATTTTCGAAATGATTGCATTTGAATTTCAGTTTGCTTTCGTTCCGTAACCGAATGACGAAGTGTGCAATAAAGTTTTTTTTTCGTTTAAAAAGTCATTATTCGTTGTTTCATTAGTCTTGTTGTTGTTAAAAATTCTTGATAAAATGACGAATGTGTAATGTATTCACGGGGCCTCTTGAGTTTATGACTTGAAAAAAAATTCACTTCGAAAAAGAAAGAGTGCCTGTTTTAAATACGAACTTATCAACGTGCCGCAATTCAATTGATTATGAGTCTATGTTGCGACAAAGCACTTGATTGTGTCCGATTCATCGTGTTACTTAGTTCGTCTGTCGAACGTTCACGCTGACGAAATCCACCTAGAACCCATTCCAATTCAATGAACATACATTGTAAATATGCGCATTACTTCAATGAAAAATTATATATATATATATCGTCTTTATTGATTTAAAAATAAAATTGAATGGCTGTGTTCCATATTTGAAATCGAATGAGACGCGATATGCGAAGACGAATTAAATTATTGAATTCAATTTATAATTCAATAAGTCGGCATTAAAATCAAACGTTCATATAATCATTTACACCTTGCTACGTTCCGTTGATTCCTTATCTCGTCAATATTGAAATCGTTCGTAACGGTGTTTTTTCTCTTCTCCTTTTTCTTTGGAGAAATGAACAAATAACACATCGATGACAAATCAACAAATTGAAAATAGCGATTATAAAATATTGATAAAATATTCAAATCCTTAGATCATGCCATGTATATTTTGACAATTGTGAAACTTTTTTTCGAATTGCGTAAATTGTCTCTGACTTATCGAACAAAAATCACGCCAATGAATTATGATAGCAAACAATGTGTTGATTCATCGCTGTTGAAATATTAAGTAGAAAAAAAAATGGTTTCGATTGAAAATTCTACGACTAATTATTGCCTTCCTTGAATAAAATATACATTTATTATCAATATCAGATGATGAATCGATTATTTCTTATCACAAGAATATAAAGGTGACAAACAAAATGCGAACGAATCAACAAAATGTGGAAGAAAAAAAAATGTCTTTTATAACTTCATTTATGACATATATACCTTTTCTTCAATGACCAAACAGGTGAGCCAATAATAAAATTTCATTCAATTTAAACTAATTCAATGGAAAATATCGATAGTCTATGCGATATAGATTGTCAAGTGTGTCATCAGTTGACGTAACCACCATCGATTTATGGTGATTAATCGAAATTCCATATAGTTTCTGTCTTTGAATTTCGTCTTCAATTATGAACTCATTCCGAATATCAATTTGTGAAGTGAGTTGCTTATTAAGATAAGATGATGTGTGTGCACATCATGGAAATTCCCATCCGAAACATGAAGCTTTCGGATTTTTTTTTCATTGGAATTCGTGCAAAAAGAGAAGAGATTTGGGTCTTTCACTGGAATCACACGGTCGAATAGAATTTTCATCGAATTCTTTTCAAAATGCAACTCCGTAAATTTCCGAGGAAGCTCATCTTCCGTGCAATTTTTAAAGCTGTCAATTACACCATGATTGCTTAGTATATCTACATGAATAATTGAAACAAATCATGTTTAACACAAAAGTTTATCAAAGTATTGTAAATATGTTGTTCAATGGCTGAAAATCTGTCAATTGAAAATGAAAATTGATGGCGTTTCCATCATAAATTTGTTGATTTATGAAGCGCAACATCTTCATTGGTCTGTTTAAAGCGATGAAATGAAATAAACTGTAATCAATCTTCCAGTTAAATGGATGCTTCGTTCTGGTATGTGTCTCTATCTGTTTCGATTCCGCCGCCACTGCCGCCGCTGCTGCTGCCGCCCATCATTACACAATTGGCTATTAACCATACATTACAAATGGTGCGCGCAATTTTATATTTTTCAGTTTCATCACTAGCCATTTTGAATTATATTGTTAATTAGTAAAAATATATGTAATACGTTGATTTGCATTCATTTTCACAACATCTTGCAACAACTTTTTTTTTCTTTCAATTTAATTCGCGTAAAAATGAAAAATCTATTACTCACTTCCCATTCAAAATGCACTTTATTTTACGAGTTGATTATAAGTAACGTGAGCGTCAATCCGAAACATGCTCGCAATTCATGTGTTTATGCAAATTCCGTCAGCGCATTAAGAAGAAAAAGGAAAAAAAAACTCGATAATAAAATTATAACGAAAACACGAAAAAATGCAAATGAACATTGTAAAAAAAAAAAACATTATGTATGATATTGTATGCGCAAATGCAACATATATGCATGTGTGAATCTTCACGTCATGTGCTTTACATACAACTCTATCTTTTGCATGAATGATTGTATTATTATACATGATTGAAGGGTACTTAAAATGCAATTTCGTCTTTATGAAGAAGCCACTATATTAGAAGGCATATGCAATGCTAATTCTAATTCCAAAATTCCATATTTTGTGAGCGCGCGCACTCATTCAATTCGCATACATTAATACGGTTTATTGTTGATGTTGCCATTCTCGTTTGCAATTTGCATCGATCATTATCGCGCGCTGTTTGTTAACTAACGATATTTGCATGTAATTCACTCGCCAGCAACTTTTGCTACTGAATCGTCTATATATATGATCTATTTGATATGATTCACAGTCAATAGAGTAATCAATGCAAATAAACCGAAACGAGAAATGCATAAAAATTTATAGTATATGTATTAAAAGAGGCAGAGTAAAAACGAAAGATGCCGAGAATCAGATTTGCATAGGCGTGAAAAGTGCAACATCGAGAATATCAATGATTGACAGGCAACAATTTGAATATTCATTAATTCGGGTTGCGATTCGAATAAACACACAAAAATCAACATATTTTTTTTTCTCTTCCATCACTGATTATTGCACAAATCAGCAACTACAACAACACATTACCAAGTTAATTTCCATGCGATCACATGATTTATTTAAAGATTTGAGCAAAAGCTTTAATGAAATTAAAGTAATGTAGTTTCTGGTCGATGAAGAAAACATGTTTACGCATTGTATACATTTGGATGATGCGTGATCGAGAATGACGAACATTAAAAAAATACGACAAGCTCACACTTAGATTAGGTTGGTTGATTCGGTGATGTGCAGAAATTGGACAGACCATTTGCTGGTTTTGAGCACTTCTCTACAATCCAATCTCCGATTCGATATTCAAGTCAAATCAAAACACAGAGAAATGAGCGTGCATCTAGTGCAAAAGAATGCAAGCGCAGAGAGAGAGAAAGAGAGAAAACAATCCATTGAGATCTATTAAATTTACGCAGTTTGCACTTTAGCGGCATATTGCCACTGCTTGTTTGTGGTGGCTGTGCCATATCGTATGAGCGCGTAATGCCATGCCATAACGCAATTGAATGTTCATTAAAAACCAACAAATTAAAGTCATGCTAATGCATATGCAAGACGCTTTTGGTGTATCGTCTTGTATACGGTACGCGTTGCGCTAATTTTGTGTTGTATTTTCTCTCGCTCACTCACTCGCTCCGGTTTAAGCTTTAAATTTGCTTCTTTTTTTCCTCTTGAGCACATAAATCGCATGATATTTTATAATAAAATTAAATCAGTTTGCCTATTGCTGTTTGGTTGTTGATGCGGTTGTTGGTCGATCACTTCTTTTGACGAGCGCGCACACACACACTCGACAGCGCCAGCCAGCCACACACACAGATAGAGAGAACAAGCAAAAAATTAAAACTTATTTGCAAAAACAAAGTAAAAAAATTTAATGAAAAAAACAAAATCCATATTCACACAACGCGCACAGACCAATAATTGGCCAAATATGAATGCATGATAAATGAACAATGTTCATACATTGGCATATAAATTGTAGTTTAATACGGTTTTAATCCAGTAATCTAGGTCCAATTTTTATTGGATTTTCAATTTATTTCATTTATATATTGTGTGTGCTGTGTTTTTTTTCTTCTTCTAACATTTTACTTAATTACACATTTATTTTGGTTCGCTCAATGAGAATCGCTCTGGCCAGTTTTTATTTTGCTTTAAATACATATATTCAATTTGTGCGCACGGAAAGAAACACATTGTAATTTGTGATGTTTTGAAGAGAAACCCAAATATGTTGCACATATTTGGCGATAATTGTTTTAATTTTCGGTTTTTTTTTTTTCGATGTTTATGTTTATGTATGTACGCCTATTGATTATGCAATCAAAACCAAAACAAAAATACAGAAAAAAAAATTACGCTAATCGTGCAATGAACACATTATCATGGTTGAGCCGTGCATGCATTCGAAAAGAAAGCCAAGACGTGAAACTTTTTTTTAATTATTATCCATTTGTATTATTTTTTTTGTTAATTTATTGGATGTGATTAGCATAATTTGATTGCAAATGCCAATTTTTCTAGCACCAAATATACATTTTTTGCAAATTATCGTGTTCAACGAAATAGTTTGCCCTCAAGACTGTGTGCAGTATTTACACTTGAAACATATTTTATTTACATTCATTCGATATGTTGTTTTTTGAAAAAAATTCATAGAATTTTTAAGCGAAAAACAAGAATAACTTTTCTATATCAATTTGTTTGTTTTGATTTTCTTTCTCTTCAATTGAATGTTTCCATTTCTGATGTAAATATGTGTAAATCGTTTCGTTCCAGGCAAGGCCCGTTCGACAGGTGAATTCCACTGGTAAAAGTTTTGAAGATTCCGTCACTCACGGCAACTTTTCTCCATATTCACATCAGAAGAAAATCGCTTCGTTTAGCTAATGAGAGAATTTTTCGCACTAAAATTTCAACGCCCACACGAAAAATTAATAAGATCGGTTTTTTTCTTCTTTTTCTTCGAGAAAATATGTCATTGAACATTCAAGATAATCAGATAGTTAGGCCGTGATTGATAGCCTTTAGCATTGAATAGCGCGAAAACAGAGCAACGTACACTGAGAATCAAATTGCAATAAATAACAACCCAAAAGTAATCATCAAATATACGCTTGCCAGGAGAAAAAGATAAACGATTCATTGAAGCGAACCACTTGCACGAAGAAAAACACAAAAAGGTGTTAACAGACATTTTTAACAGTCGTTTTAAAACGAAGAAAAGGTCCACAAAGCAACGAAATAAACCGGAAAATTGAACGAGAATAAGAAGAAAAAAAAGAAAAACAATCGAATTGTTTTCGACACACTAAACGCACCACAATTTCTTCTGACCGCGACAGCAAGCCCCAACAGTAAGAGGAAGAGAGCTGCTAAATTGTGCTAAATAAAGACATTCAATCGTCTCGCGCGTCTGTGAAAAATACTAGAGACACAGTGACGAGGTAGAGCGAGAGAGAGAGAGTGTGTGAGCGAGAGACACATTCCATTGGGAGTGCACGGTGTGTGACATTATGCCGTTGTTGGTAGCACAAAGAAACACACACCAAGGAGTAGCGGTATTAGATCGTTGCCATCGTGCCACTAGTAACAAACTATTATTGGAACATCAACAACCGCTCGATTTTACTATGTCCAAATATAAACCAACGTCACGTCATCAATTGTATCGTCAAATCTATAGCGCCGAAGATTCATTGCAATACGATCAAAAAATGCAAGATCAAGGTAAGTGCCATTGTCCCATTTTATTTTCATGCGATTCTTTTTGTTTTTTCGATTTGTAAACGGCGTTGAAGAGTGCGCGCATCTTCACAAAGAAACCATCGCCGAAAAAAAAACTCCATTTTCGATTGAGGTGTCGCAATCAACAACTTCAGATGCTCAACATTTAATGGCATATTAAAAATGTATTTCATTCTCGACTTCAAGCAACCCAATTTCGATTGTTTATTTATTTTTTTTATTCACTTCACTCTCTCTCTCGGTCTCTCTGTCTTTTTGTGAGTGTGTCAGTCGGTGTTGTCATCACCGTCATCATCGTTTAGTCGATGATTTGCCCCCGTTACTGTGTGCATTGCAATCTGTTGCTTATTGTACTGCTAAATGCGGCGTGTGCCGATTGTATAACGTGTGCCATTCAAACCGAATTATGTGTATTTATATGACATAATATACCCGACACAAAACATTTTTCTTTAGTGAAAAGAAGAAGAAAAATTAGGGTTAAGTATATCAATCGATCAGTAAAAGATAAATATCATCGAAACGAATGTGTTCGCAAAGAAAAAATCGTACCTACAAAAAGACGGAAGACAACAAACTCGAGTGTTTTTTTTTCACTTTACTATAAAAAGGACGACAACGAAGACAACCCTTTTTTGCGTCCCGAAGTGTTCCTTTTTTTCAACTCTCTAAGGAACTACGCATTACAACAGAAAAAAGAGGAAATCTGAAGGGTACATATATTAAAGTAATGCGTCGTTTTTTATTAGCATTTAGTGTTGTGCTCATCATCAACACATCGTTTAGAAGAATTCAGTTTGCAATTTTTTCTTCTTCCTCCTCGTCGTCTTCTTCTTCGCTCTCCTCGCTCTCCGTTTGCATTCGTATGAAAATGTAATTGTGGGTTTCCAAACTGTGATTACTGCACTTAATTTAGATATCAAGCATATGGTTGTTGTTTTTTTTTCGGCGGTTGAACATGTAACAAAAAGAAACGAAGAATAAGCGATAGGGTTGCATCCGACCACAAAATAACGAGCTACTCAGGACGACGATGACGATGTGGGGAAAATAAAATCGGGAATATAAAAAAAAACGCAACAATGAACACAATCATTTTTACACAAAGTTACACACGAACTGAAAGATCATCTATCAATTATTAATTTGGGATGATTATTTACAGTGTCTTGTTCTTTTATTCACAATCGATTTTAATATCCGGCAAAAATTACACCATTTCTCATTCGTCTACACTGTCCCACTTTTCTTGCCTCTTTGTCTCTCGCTCTTGCGAGAGATCCATTGTTACTGGTGTAGATTATTGACTTCGACGGGCACCGTCTATTTTCGTTGTGTTCGTATCGCTTTTGTTTATTAATCTTCGTGTGGTTCAAAGTCGCGGTCACACGAATTAAGCAAATTTTTGTCCGTTTGCTTTTTAATGAAAACATACCGTGTGTATCGATTTTAACGATGCGAATCTGAAAAGAACATGCAAAATATGCGCTCTCTGAAGCCACCAAAATACAAAAGACGCACAGCAACAACAAAAATCCAATCTAATTTGATGTAACAACTTGCTTGCGATGGACACGAGAGATATTATTATGGTTTATTATAAATTGTGATGCAAAAATTATATCGATGGCAATTTCGAATTGGAAAAAGGCAAAAAAGAAGAAGAAGTTGGTGCCTTGGAATGTATTAACATACACAAAATCCAATCCAGACCGAATCGATTGCTGGATTACGATTGTGGTGCTCCGCGGAGTAAGTGTGTTTGTGTGATTAACGTTCGTCGTGCATTCAAAACAGAGCCCAGCCAAACAAGCGATCGATGGCAATTTATCGAAGACACACCGTACCAGTTCTAATTTTTCCGCCATACATATATATATATTCCCCGATGCACCGTACCTGAAAATTATATTATAAATTTATCGAAGATAATGAATAGTTGATTCATTTTCATATCGAAAACGTATTTTCCATACACATTTATGCAGAAACCGTGATGTCCGTGCAAAGGTTGGCTGCAACTGGCAAGGCTACACACAACAACAGCAGCACACAGTCGCCGCAATTTGGCTGTACAATGTGTGTAGATCACATTTATCATATCGACAATGCATTACAGAATTCGTATGCGAAACGAACATATCTTGGTTTTCTTCTTTCATTTTTCCACTGAATATATGAACACACACTGCCCGATTCACATATAATTTTCATGTTTGGGGCTTGACGCAATTCCTTTGCTTCATTTCATTCATACGAATTGGTATGGTAATATAGACAGACAAAAACAAAAACAAAATCTGTGCAACACGAGAAAGGGAGATAGCCGAGCTGCCGTCATCATCATCATCTACGATTTTCATTTTAATTGGTATTTTAATGTTTGGTCAAATGCACACTCACTCTTCCCAACAAAATAATATAATAAGTGGAAGAGGCGCGCATGCAAGTACGTGCATTGGATCGAGTTTAATATTTTTGCATAAAACATGCCATAACACACTGTCCAAACAGAAGGTAGAGAGAGAGAGCGAAAGAAGAGCGCACATGAACAATAATATGACAACGTGCTCGATGTGTTTGACCGGTTCGATTTAATTCGGCGTGTGTTACCGTGGCCAGCAACTACATAAATATTACCAATTTAGTCTTCCGTTTGGTTCAATCTCTTCCTTTTCTCTCTCTCTCCCTCTCTCTCAACGGTCAAAACGATTGCCATTCTCTATTATCATGACGTGCATTATCGTATCACAACGGAGCATATATTGCAATAGCTAAAGTACGCGACGACTGATGCCAATTTCTATTTCTACTGCCAACATCTCTTTTCTTCTATTTCTCAAATTGCCGTCTTGCTCCCGTCTCTACCTTACTTGTTCTTGTGCTCTCTCTCTACCCTCACCTCGGTATCGTCGTCGTAGTTCGACTAGCGCGTGAATTGTTTTCGATCATCTGGCAATGCAAGCAAAAGGAATAAAACAATAAGCCAAAGATACACGTTCATAATACCCATAATATGTAATAACAAAATTTATAGGCGTTTGTAATACATTTAGCAATTTTGCATAAGATCGCATTATTATTTTTCTTTCTGTTGCTATATTTTTTTCTCTTCTCTTCATTCGTTTTCATATTTATTTTTTTTGTTTTCTTGTTTGTCCGTGTGTCTTTTTGCACACTTTTATAAAAAGTGTTATGCTAGAGTTCTCTCATTCGTTGTGCAGTCAATTTAAATACAATGCCAAAACATAAGCGAACAACAACAAAATCAACACTAGAACCGTTTGCTTCTTCTTCTTTCTTCGCAGCATACTAACTTTCTGCGCGTCATTTGGTTTGTCTCTCACTCTCCGTATTTTTTTTTCTTTTTGATATAATATGCATTATAAATTTGAGTATTTTTTTCTCTGCAGATATTCGTTGGTTAGCTCTTTCACACCACGAACATTTTCATTGATGCGATATTGTGCGAGCCTAGCAAAACAAACGTTTTGAGTGCAACCACGGTAAAACAAAACAAAAATACACAAGGAACAAAACACTGCCAAACGAAGAGTAAAAAAAACACACGAAAATAAAACACGTGAAAAATAATAAGACGCGCGAGCGATATTCACTCGATTCGGTAATATTGTGAGTGTGTTCTGCGAGAGAGAGAGAGAGCGCGCGCGCAAACTCAATATAGTGTATATCGCTTATCTTGTAATTGGATTAATGAAAATTCGTGAGGTAGTTTCTTGTGTAAGATACTGATTTTCTTATATTTTGTTCATTCTCTTGCAATTCGACAGCAACCACTTCGCTGGTAATTGTTGTTGTTGGTACGATCATCCGTTTGGCCAATTCATTTGTGAGTAATACACATATCGAGTACATCGTCGTTGTCTTCTTCTTCATTCAGATGACTACGGAACGATTCTGGTCTCTCTTTCGCTCACTAGATTTGTTTTGATCTTCTGCATTTTATATACTCTTCCATTTGATGTAAACAAAAGAGAGAAAGGGAGAGAGAGGAGAGCTTTTTGTTTAATAAATAGGTCGTTATTGATTTTGTTTTTGGTATTTGTTTCGTTGAATTGAGCGCGGGCCCAATATCGCAACGAGAAAAGCGAACGATAATTTCTTATTGGCTTATTATTATTATTTTTTTCTTCGTTCGAAGTGCGCTGACTTCAATTTAATAATATAGAAAAAAAAAGAGGTGATTTTATGATAAAACCGAAAAAAAATAAAATGTCTTACATCCGTAAGATGAACTTTTCCGCACTGTGAT